TGTCACAGTACCCTGTCACAGCACTTTGGAAGGCTGAGGCAGAAGAGTTCCAAGTTCAAGTCCAGCCTGGGCAACTCGGTGACTTAGTAAGAGCCTGTCTCAAAATGAAAAATTAAAAAGGATTGGGGCTGCAGCTCAGTTCGGAGGTCCTGGATTCCATCCCCACCACCAAAACCAAAATGAAAACGAGACGAAAACAGTCCTCTGGCCATCTTTATGGCTGTCGCTATTGTAGCTCACGTGGGCACCTGAGAGAGACACATCGCACTGCAGTCTCCTGCGGCACCAGCACACCTGTCACTTCCCAGTAGCCTTGGCCGCTTGGCCCCTGCACACAGCTGGTCGCGTAAGGACAGTCATGCTGCGCAGCAGAGTCAGGAGGGAGGTGACTCACGTCGGCCACAGGTGGAGACCACACCCGTCCCGCTCCACACAGGGGCCGGCATGGGCACCGCGTCCCCTCCCTGGTCCTCTGTCTTCTCGGCCAGACGCTCTGGCCACACTGCCCTTTGGGGACAGTTCTGGGGGGACGAGGGAGGTGGGGGGAGTCCAGGGAGCAGTGGCTCCTCCCAGCCCCTCTCTCTCCTCCGCCTTTTCCTCTCCCCCACCTCCTCCCCGGGATCCTCGCTGGGGCTCTGTCCCGTGAGTGACACCTTCCTAGGTGGTATGGCAGGCAAGGATGACTCTGACGGGTCCCTTGGGCTCAGTGGCACACGAGAAGGTCCCCTCCCACACCCCTCTCACCCAGCCCATTCCTGGAAGCACAGGGCCAGGGGCACAGGGCAGGATATTCGAACCTGGGCTCCAGATGCCTCGGCGAGGAGGCTTTGCTTGCTCCGTCCCTCAGCAGGGCGGGTGTTGTGCCCGAGAGTTCATGTACTCAGCCACCCGGCCCTCCTTGCAACCACGACTGATTAGCGCTGCTGTGTGCCAGGTGTCAGGGACGCAGCTGAGTGCAGAGCTGACACACCGGTCCCCACACCCCGCCCTGCTGGGGCTGGCTTCCAGCGCAGCGGGGAAGAGATGCCGGAGCCAGGAAAGAAATCAGTGCAGAGCAGGAAGCCGAGCAAGGTGGCTCATACCTGTCATCCAGCACTCTGAGAGGCTGAGGCAGGAGGATTGCAAGTTTGAGCCCAGCCTGGGCGGATTAGTGAGACCCTGTTTCAAAATGAAGAACAAAAGGGGCCAGGATGCAGCTCAGTGTGATGGCCCTGGATTCAGCCCCAGTGCTAAAAAGGAAGAGAAGGGGAAGTAGGGCTGGACCGGGCTGCAATTTACGTAGTGGCCAAGGGAAGCCTTGCCGTGAAGGCCCCAGGGAGACGCGGGAGAGGGCCCGGCGGGCGTGCAGGAATGGTGTGGAGAGCCCAAGGAACAGCCCGTGTGGAGGCCCTGAGGTTGAAGGAACGTGCAGGAGCCTATGGGCTGGGGTGGAACTGGGCAGGAAGGTGACCTCGTCCTGGGAGGAGAGGCTGGGGCTGCAGGTGCACCCCAG